CAGCTCCCTCGAAGTGACTTCTTGGAAAGGCAGCCAGACAGCGACCGGGCAGGAACCCAGCGTGCTTGGCAGCCCCCTCCCTCGGCAGTGCGGTTATTTATTAGTTCTCAGAAGGAGGAAGATGGAAACAGAAACAGAACCCTCTGCCGGTTACGAAAGCTCCGTGCTGGCCCTGGCGTGGGACCCTCCTGCCAGCCGACAAGGTGGCGGGCTCCCCCCGAGGGCTGCCCCACCCGGGCCGGTGCCCCCTTGCTGCGGGCAGCTGGCAGGAGCGGTGCCTCGTGGCCCCGCGTGGATGGCTGAGGCCCCCCCACAGGCCTGCCTTGAGCCCCTGCCGGCGGGACGAGACTTGGGTGCCGCGTCTGAACGCCGCTCCATGCCCAGCGCCCACAGATGTGCGCTCACCCCCCATCTCCTCGTTTCACAGATGGTCGTTCCGCTCGCCTTCCACAGACGGGCCCTAGTAATGGATGTATGTGCGTCCCGGGGTCCGTGGACCAGACTTGAGCCGGCACTTGCTGCAGGCCGCTGCAGGCCTGGTGACCCCAGGATGACCAGCTGCCCGCCCCGATGGGCTGCAGCCCCCCGGATGGCAGCCTGGGTCCTGTGGGACCCCGAAGAGACATGTACCCCCAAAGGCCTTGCTGCTTAGGAGTTCAGTCGCCAGGGGCTTGGTTTTTGTTTTTTAAGTTGTATTTTCCGTAAGCAGTGCATGTTTCGAACGTACAGTGTGTTGCCCCGGCCCATGTCGCTCGGGTTAGAGCGTCGGCCCCCCGCACTGAAGGGTCACGGGTTTGAATTCCCATCAAGGGCACGTACTCGGGTTGCAGGTTGGTTCCCCAGCCCCAGCGGGGGCCCGTGTGGGAGGCGACCCGTGGAAGTGGCTCTCACGTCGGCATCTCTCCCCGACTTCCTCCGTTCTACTCTCTCAAAAAATCAATGGAAAAAGTGCCCTCGAGAGATTAACAAAATAACAAAAACATACGGCGTGTTAAGTTTCAATGCAGGTAGACAGTGAAACTGTCCCCATCCTCACGGTAGTGGACACATCTGTGGTCCCGAGATGTCCTCGGACCTTGTGCTCCCCCCGCCAGGCGGCCACGGGCCTGGTTTCCGTCTGCACGGAACGGTTTCTGTTCCGCGAGCCCTGGGACCCGCCGGGTGTCGCTGCTTCAGCGAGTCCCCCCTTTCTCGCTGGGAGGGTCCTGCACCCAGGCCCCTGTGGGTAGACGGCGGGGCTGTTCTCAGTTTGGGGCTGTGTCATGGGAAACTGCCAGGAGCACCAGGGACAGTCCCTGTGCGGACTTGGCTTTGCTTCCTCTTGGGGGACCCGGGGCGGGNAGGGGGGTGGCAGGGCGCCCATGGGTGTCTGTTTAACCTCTGAGCTGTGCCCTCCCCCCGTGGCAGCCCCGGGTTGGGCCTCGCGGGGACTTGTTCCCTTCTCCCCTATGACCGGTGACCCTGAGCGGCTTCCCCCGTCTTCACCTGCTGCCCGAACCCCCTCTCTGGTGAGGGGTCTGTTCACAGCTCTCACCTGTTTGGAAAACTGGGCTGTTCCTTACGCTGAGATTCGAAACTGCCCTGGCTTAGCCGTGAGTCACCAGCTAGCCTCAGAGCGCCCTTCTGGCGGGCGCTGGTTTGGGGCCCAGTCTGCCTCCTGGGCTGGGACTGCGGGGCTCTGGACCCCGCCCACACCTTCGCACCCCTCCCTCTGCTCTCCCGTGGGAGTGGCTGAGCCTGCAGGCCTGGGGCCGGCGGGAGGGGGCACGTCAGCCGGGCTCCCCACTGCCCTGTGGCAGGCCCAGCCCCCCGGTTACCCTCAGAGGGCAGGCTGGGGGACCCGGGGAATTGAGGGGCCTGACTAGAGCCCTTCCCCAGGTGAGGGTGCTGGTTGTGCGGTCCCACCAGGAGCACCGGGGGGGGATCCCAGCGTCCCCAGCCTGGGCCTGCCCCTCAGCTCCTGGGGTGAGGGGCTGCACGGGGAAGGGGGTCCCAGCCCACAGGCGCCGCTGTCCTCCGGGCTCCCTCTGCGCGGGGACACTGAGGCTGGCGCTGTGACCAGAGGGAGGCCCTGGCCGGGCTCCCCGCCCCTCCCCCTCTGTCCTGGAACATCTCACAAAGCCAGCTCTGGACCACAGTTTCCAAACAGAATAAGTGATGTTTTCAGGCCAGAGTTACCACGGCAACCCTCAGCCTCCCCTGGAGCCGCAGATGGCAGCCAGAGAAGGGCGGACTCCGGGCACCGTCCGCACCCCCCCCCC